GCGCGGTGCAGGCGACACCAAGCCAAGGGTTGCGATCCCCTTACCAGTCACGAAAAAGACAACAAAAAAACAAAAAAAAAAAAAAAAGAAAAGAATATATTCACTATGGAATTCAGTATTGATGTTCTCTGAGAGAATGCAATTAATACATCAATTTCTTTGGGGAAAAAACAAAACGAAGCTGTCCCAGGACATTCTCAGTAAAGGTATACTCAATCAAGTTGTGTAGTACTAACAGCTAGAAAAATAATATCTATAAAGGAAAGCACAATAAAAGTAGCAGACCTTAGGGTACATAAAATCAAATCACAATATATCATGAGGTCATCGTGATTCTGATGGCTAAATGCCCCCAGCTCTCCATATCCCTGTGAAGATTAGCTTATTCAAAGGAACAAATTGGAACTGTTTTAAAAAATAAAGAGGTTTTATATAACTGAGATACAATTCTGAGATTCCACATATCTAGTCTCTTTCTGCCTGGCTTCTCCACATCCTGCATTCACGGCTCGTATTGACTAATGCACAGATAAGCCAGTTTTCAATAGAAACATGCACATTAGATTAACTAGATGCTAAAGGATTAGAACTTTTTAGGAAATTTTATATTTTAATATGTTGTACCAGAAAAGAGAAAAAAACCCTACATTATCATCTGTCTTCTCAAAATGAACACCAACATTTTTATTGGGGGAAAAAAACCCTCAAGAAACTCAAACTCCCAAATCAACCCAACTGAGATTTCAAACGAGGCATGTATGAAGTGAAACTCCATTTACTACATTTAACTCAGTGTTGGCAGATGCCCTCTAAATGTGAGTAGGAATAACATGGAGACATATAACACAGGCATGTTTGAAACCTTTTATTAAACAGGCAATTCACTGTGCAATGGTTAAGGACACGGATGCCTACTTGAAAAGTTTAAAAATTATTTTTGGAAACAGCCATTATATTCCTTCCTCCTCAGAGTGGCTACCTTCAGGAAAACAGATTGTTCTATAGCTGCTCTTGGAAACGGCACCCCTGGTTTACCATAAACGCCATGCCTGGTGGTAAACATAAAAGACGGGATCCACAGGCAAGACAGCGGGGCAGACGTGGCTGGTCTCCGGTGGGAGTGCAGACACCTGTCCTCCTGAATCGGCTTCTCCGGTCTTGCAGGAGAACTATGTTTGCGTTCTCAGTTCACTTCCCTTTTCTTCCTTGTCTGAGGCCTCTCTATCAAAGGAATTCACACCTCTGGGCACAGGAACTCATTGTTGGACTTTTAAAATGTTGCTCTTGTCTTTGGGCCCCTCTGGCCCAGGATTATGGCTGTGTGTTTGTCCTCTTTGTTTTGTTGGTTCCTGCCTCTTCCCCGAGCTTGTCCTAACCTGATGATAAAATCAATCTTAAGTTTCACAGTTTGTTTGCCATGATTTACTGGCAGTTTTAAACCAAGTGGCCCGTCAAGGTAGTGGACATTCTTTACCAGCACACAGCCGACCTATTTTATAATTTGGGGCATATCACTCCAAGCTTGAGATTTCTTTCTGGCAAGTTCCATCCAGGATGGCTGATCCACGCTGGCATAGCTGGCTCTCTTCAGCTGGTGCAATTCCTTCTCCATCATCACTACAGACTGAGCTGCTGGAAAGGAGACAGAACAAACAGAAACATGAGAAATGAGTTTGGATTTTCACTTAAGCCTCTTGCATTTCTTTAAACACACGTCAGGGTCTTACCTGTGTTCTCAACCATAAAATTCCTTAGTATGTAAACATGCAAAGAACATGTAATTTTCTTTTCTAGGCATAGAACATGTAATTTATGTGATGACCAGGCTAAGAGTGGGCTCAAACAGTTCTGGCAATGCAGTGAGGCGAGAGAAACTTTCAGAATAAAACTGCAGGAAATGGACAGCAGTTGCACAGCACTGGGAATACCCTTCCCACTACTGGACTGTACACCTAACAGTGGTTAAGACGGTAAATTTTATGTTCTGTGTCTTTTTACCACAATTAAAAATAAATAAAAATTTAAAAATACTGGTACATGCTACGACAGAGATGAATCTCAAAAACACTCTGCTCAGTGAAAGAAGCCAGACGCAAAAGGGACACATATTTTATGATTCCATTTGTAAGAAATGTCCAAAAAAGGCAAATCTACAGAGACAGAAAGTAGATTAGTGGTTGCCTAGAGCTAGGGGTGGGAATCAGGAATGACTGTAAATGGGCATGTTTCTTTTCAATGTGAGTGAAATGTTCTAAAATGAGATTATCATGATGGTTATACAACTCCGTAAATACATACTCACTGAATTGCACACTTTAAAATGGGTGAGTTTTTTTTATCGCAATAAAAGTTGTCTAAAAATCTCAATGTGGCAAGTCATTTGGAAAAACAAAACAAAACAAAATTGTAGGAGCAATCCAGGAAAAGGATTTCAAAGCATTTGGTAACATTTGCAGATTTCATACCCAAGTTCTGATGGGACAATGAGATGCCTCTTTGCAGCCCCTCCTTGAGGGCGACCTTTGCCCCCTGCCTCCGTTCCACAGCGGGTTTAGCAGGGGTTATCAGGAAAGACTTGCTGCGGACAAAGTCAGCTTGCTTCATGGGCTCCTATAGGGACACAAGAAGGACACACGCTGTCTGGTCACTGGTGATTCAGACAGGGAACAAACACAACCCAAGTGGATGAGCCACAAGGCTTCTCTCCCAAGATGCATGGTGCTGTTGGCACTTTCTTGGGAGAGCTCTGGTGTGTCAGCTCACTGATGTGGGCTGTCAGAATGCCGGAGCTCAGACCAGTGCTTGGCCTTACCCTGGGCCCACACCCACATCATAGCTGCTGCCTGTCCCCACACCTGGCCTCAGCCCCAGATGTGGACTTTCCATCTGAAAGTCAAAGTGAGTTGTATTTGGAAATAGTTTTTTGATTTTTATGATACCTGTTATGATCACAGATACCCCAAAGTGGTTAATATTTCTTTTATAAATTCCCTAAGCCCGTAGGAGGGCCTTCAAGTATGGGTACAATTGAGGTTTTGGTTACAATGAAGGGAGGCAGGTACTACCGCATGCTCAGGCTCACTCACTTCCCCACCCGGGTGGAACACGCTTCTGGATTTATCGTGGTGGCTACTGGGAAAATACAAAAGCTGGGAGCATGGTTCTTTGGGCGGGCGAAAGCTGTTTTAAGTTCAGAGTGCAAAAGGGAACCCGAGGTTCCAGCCCTGCACTCCCAGGTGAGGAGTAAGGAGGCAGCAAGAGCAGGGCTCATTCATCCTCACACAACGAGCCGAGATGGAGCTGTTGATATCGTCGCCCTGTTTAACCGAGGAGTTATTTTAACTTCCTTCCATTTACCCAGATGCTGAGCTGCGTTGCCTAGGAGGCGGGGAGCAGAGGGCTGTCCCCACTGCCTCAGTGATTCACGCACTGCTCTGCGTTCCTAACAGCCCAGCACACACTAAGGGCAGGGAGACGGCTCCACCATGGAGGTTATAATTTGGCAAATCACTGATTTTGCTTCACTGACCCTAGGCCACACATCAACAATCATCACAGATGACAGTCTGTGTGATGCCCAGGCAGGACGTGTGGGCATCACGGGGGTCCCAGCCCCAGCCCCTCATTCACCCACGGAAACACTGGCTCTTAGTACCTGGGCTCTCTCAGGCGCCTGAGCTTGCTTTCCCATTTCAGACTTCGGGGTCCGCGCTCCAGGCTTGTCTTCCTGGCTGGGTGGCTGGTCTGGGGCCCCTTGCCGCTGCTGCCGAGTGACGGTGATCCAGGGTGGCGCAGGCTGCCCGTCAGCTCCAGGCTCTGTTGCTGCAGAAGGCAGCCCCTTTTCTGTGGGTGAAGGCACAAGGTTATGCAAAACAGTCCTACTCCTGCTTCACTCACACTTTCTGCTTCTCCCACACAGAAAACACTGAACTACTTTGACTCAGGGTGGCAGGGGTGGGGGTAGGGGTCTGGCAGCCTCTCTGGTGAGACTATGACTTTTCTTTAGGAGACTTATTTTCTTTCAGAAGATGCATCAAAGAGATTATGCTCCCCTAGTCTGAGCCACAAAAAATTAAATGCAACTGTTCCTATAAGGTCAATGTGCATTTTAAAGCCAACTTCCTCCTAGGAAATCCTTTCTGGAAGGACACAGAAATAAGTGCATAAATAGATTTCTTTAACAGAATCATTTTGGACCAGTACAGACCACCTGATTCCTGGTTTGCTTGGATGTGTAGACACACTATTGTTCTCTTATCTTTTAAAAACTGTAAATATAACCTGCTCTTTGTGGAGAGAGTGACACAAAAACTAGCCATAATTGTGCTCCTTAATGTCCTAGAGAGAAGAGAAACAGTGCCTTTAAAACCGTATGTTTTGCTGAGTTTTCTTCCACATGAATAGTGCTTATCTTCGAGTGGTAAGACTGTGGGTCATTTCCCCTCTTACTTTTTAACTTTTCTGTATTTTCATGTTTTCTACAATGAGAATTTATGACCTTCATCAACAGAAAAAGGGAGCTTAGGGCTGGCTGTTTAGCTCAGTTGATTAGAGCCCGGTGTTGTCACACCAAGGTTGAGGGTTGGGATCCCTGTATGGGCCAACTGCCCAGAAAAAAAAAAAAAGGAAGGGTACTTGTTTTTTCTAAGGAAACCTATGGATTAAAGAAGTGGCTTTTTACAGGCACACGGTGAGTTGTAAGTATAGAAGCCGAAGGTTCCCCACGGGCCTGCCCCTGAACATTTGCCTGCGCCACACAAAACCAGACAAAAGGTGACCTCCCCGCACCCGGCCCCTCTTCTCGTCTCCCTGGCACACAGTGCGCCCAGGTCAGCCAGGTGCCGACAGGGCTGTCCCAGCCTCACGCCGGGCGTCCAGGATGAGCTGCCACTTTCGTCCTCTGCGGCCTGACGCACCCCCTGCCTTGCTCCAGGGTGTAGGATGTTACTTGCATGGCTCTTGTCTCTGCTTCCAGTTTGAGCTGGAGTTCTTTTCTCTCAGTTTCCTGGTCACCGAGGCGGGGCGAGGGCCAGGAGCCGCTGCTCTGCAGGCTGCAGCCTCCCGCTGGGGTGGAGGGGGCCCCGACCTCGTGCACACGGACCTGCCTGGCTCGGGCAGCTGGGCCCGGCTCCCACTCTTCTCCCGGCTGCTCCCTCAGGCCTCCACCTTACTGGTCTCCTGGGAACCTGGTTCCTTCTCTTTGACTCATTCCTTGTCCCCTTCCTGCCTCTTCAGTCTTGCCCTGGCCACTGACTTCTTCCCTGCTGCTGGGCAAATGCTTGGGTGTCCCACAGCTTGAAGAAAAGTAAGTCCCCACGAGCCTCACCATCCCCCGAAACCCCATTCTCACTTCTCTATCCTCAACTCAAATGGCCGCTGCCTGTGCCCTGTCAGCTTGTTCCTGACCCAGCCACGGGATGAACGCTGCTCCCAACCACACCAGACACCTCAAGGTCTGGCCAGCCTTGATCAGCTTCACCCCTGCAGCTCTGACGTGGCCACCATCTTCTCCTGGAGGCCTGTCCTCTGGGGGCGTCCCCACATCCTTGCCTGACTTCTGCACCTAAACCTGGGGTTCCACCGTGTTGCTGACCCACAGCCTTCAGCTCTTCCTCCCCCAAAGCTCCCTCTTCCTCTCCTGATCCCAGCACTCAGACTGGCTCAGGTTGCTCCCCAGGGTACACGCCGCGCTGCTCCCCACCGCAGCCAGCCCACATTTCTGCTCCCCTGTTCCTTCCCTTCTTTCCTCCAGTGTTTGCTATGGGCAAGGTCTATGCTAATTAAATTCCGTGGCGGAAAAATAAACAAATTGTTCTTTTGAAAAGCTCAAAGTCTAGTGGGGGACACTAGATACAAACAAACAACTCTGGTGAGAACTGGGAGATGCTAAAATGTACAACACACTATGTGGATGCAGGGCCTACCGCTGGTGGGTGGGGTGCGGGCGCCGTCTGGGGCTGGGACCTGGAGCAGAACAGATCTTCCAGGCTGGCGGAGGGGGTTAGGCACCAGGAAAGGCCTCCCCGGCAGAGCTGGCAGGATGAGGTGTGTGCTGACCAGCCTGAAGGAGCCGGAGGGCAGGTGGGAGGGTCTCCTGTCTTGTTTCCCTGTCTATAATGGGGAGTCACGGGGATTTCAAGCCACGGGCACGCTCTGGAGGTCATGTGGAGATCAAGGTTGACTGGGGAGTCAGGAGCGGGGCCGAGACACAGTTCAGGAGAGGTCACGAGGGACTGGACGCCTTGTTCTGGAATCATCCCTGCTTGTCTACCAAGGCCCCACCTGGATGCCACCTGCTCCATGAAGTCTGTTCTGGTCACCCTAATGAGACATGTGCTCTCTCTCCCAGCTCTTGTGTAACTCTCTTGAGACATTTACCCCACTGTGTTTGGCACTAGACATATTTGCTAGTTGGCCATCTACCCACTGATATATGCCCCTGGTAATAAGTACTTCTCGTTTATTTAACAAACACACCCCACGGACTATGTACCAGGTACTGTTCTAATATTAGCTTATTTACAATGTCATTTCACGTTTTATTCCCAGTCCAGAGAACCCAGTAACTGTCTGGCATGTGGAAGGTGCTGGGGGCTGCGTGTTTACTATAGAGTCTGTATTTCACACCCTTCATTCTCAACTCGAGTTCCACAGTCTTTGTAGCCTCTGTCTTTCTGGATTTTTACTTTTTCCTTAAAAGCTTCCTTCCTATTCTCCTTTGATCTTTTCTCCATACTCAGTGACCTGTCCTGCCCTTGGCTCTCTCCTGGCCTGAGGGGACTTGGTGGTGTCCTCTCAGCTCCGCCCCAGTGCGTGCTGGGCAGGCGTCCTTCATCCTTCGCTGCATTGTATTAGCGTATCAGAGAGAGGGGTTTCACTATGGGTTTAAACACATCACCTCAATCAACAACATACTCTGAATAATTCTGTCAAGACGAAGTGTACAGAAAGAGAAAAAACTCCACGCCGGGTTTTAGATTGGAGGCAGAGTGGTAGCTGTTCAGCGCTAAGGTGGCCCCAGCGGGTCTGGAGCGCTCTGGACGGCTCCCCAGCCTCCTCGCAGCCCAGCGCAGGGCACCTGACACTTGTGTACCTTCTTACCACGAGGCCACAACACATGGTTTGGTAAATTCCTTATGTCATACACTTGAATTATTCTATCTGAGCTAAAAGAAATATTTAAAAAATCAGCAGAGGTTTTATGGAACGGCATGTGCAGCGTTCCTGGGACCACAGTGAGAGGAGGCCCTGGAGGGAGAGTGAGGACTTCGAAGGTGGACCAAGGATGGGGGCCCTGAGGACCAGGCCCACGGCCGACGTCTCAGGGGACGTGAGGCAAATCACAGCGTCCCTTGCAGCGCTCTCACGGGAAGTGCAGGCTGGTAAATGATGCAACCAGGCTGAGCTCAGCGAGAGGTGAGTTTTTCTTTCCTTACCTCAAGAGTGTGCTGGCAGATTTCCATCCCAGGCACAGAAGGTGGCCTGCTGCAGTGCCTGTGTGGGGGGCAGCAGTGTTTCCAGCTGTACTATGTGTGTCGGTGTGTGCACACGTGTGTCTGTGTTCAAGCACAGACCACAGGAGCGAGTGAGGCAACCCACAGCAACAGTGTCACAAGCACTGAGCCAGGCCTATGGCTAAGGTCTCTCACCACCCACTTCTCCCCTTTGGTTCTGACCTCTTTTCCAACCGAGTGCTGGTCTCTTCCTGTGTTCTATACTCTCTTCCTTCCCACCTCTGTCCTTGTCAGGAGTGCAAATGGGCCAGAGGGGCCCGGAAGTGGTGAGAGAGGGTCCAGACACCGGGAAGGAGGGAGAGAAACCACTACAGCTCCATACCACGGTCTGGAGAGGCCTAAGATTCCCCCTGGAGCCTCTCGACAGGGAAGCTGAGAAAGAGGCGAGGGACCAGACACTGCTGTCCCTGGTGCCAAGCCTTGGAGAAGCTGCACCCCTGTCCCTGGGTGATGAGACATTCTGCTCTGTAGCACAAGGCCTAGGAGGCAGTTGGCACCCACCTGGGAAGCAGGGGCTCTGGGGTCTGTGCCATAATCCGCTGGGGAAGGAAGGAGAAGGGAACAAAGACACAAGCAACGTGCAGGATAGGGCAGGCCTTGGGGGCCGAAGACCTTGCAAAGTGAAAGCTCTAAAGTGCGAACGTTTGGAGATAAGGTGCACCATAAATTAGCTTCTGAGATTAAATATGTTCAAAATGTCATTAATTCCAGGAAAATGTAGATACGGAGCCAGATCAAATCAAATCAGTTGAAAATACTCCTTTGTTTGCTCTTCCTGCCTCAATAGACGGCTAGCCTTGATCTCTTGGGGATTTGGCTAAAGGGTTCTGAGGTCTCAATTTCTCCTCCCCAAAGGGCAGCAGGTTTAAGCTGTCAAGTGTGCCTGGGTTTGCAACTAACAGCCCAGGAGCATTTCTCGCAGACTGGCAGCCAGCGATGCAGTGTCTGTATCTGTGTGATCCCTCTGCTGAGAGTCCAGAGGAGACCGACTGCCCCCACACCACCGTCCTGGACAGGAAGGCGGTGAGGCGGGTCTGCTGCATGGCAAGTGCAGAGTGGCACTCCAGAAGGCCCGATGCCGCAAAGCGGGACAGCTACGAAACTCACCCCAAATGCTCTAATTCCACAGCAAAACAGCTTTTGTCAGAGAAAAGACATTGTTTAAGGATAAGATTCCTTCAAAGGAACAGCTGATAAGTTTGCTCTTCTCTAGATTCCTTCCTTCCCTCCTAGCAGGCTCTCCTGCCTCAAAGACTTGTTTTGGAAAGTATATTGTTCAAGCACTAATTTCCAAGAGATGCTGTTCAGGGACTGGGTTCAATGAGCCGTGGTAATGAGGAACTTTTCCTCGCAGGGCCAGGGCGGCAGAGCAGCTAATGAGGCCCCCTTGGGGCCTGTGGCCCTAGGTTTATGGCCTCAGGCTAGCAATGTGCTCTTGGGCAAGTTCCAGAACCTTTCTGTGACTCAATTTCAGTGTGAAATGAAGAAAACACAGTGTCTACACCTCCCAGTGTGGCTGTGAAGACTCGGGGAGACAATCCACTGTCTACACCTCCCCATGTGGCTGTGAAG